TGCCGGTGCTGCGGTCTTCCTCCGACTCACTAGCATTTCCTTGAAACACCCAAGGGAGACAAACACATGAGAGTCATCAACATCTATCAACAGTCTTTTAAAAATCTTAATGTTGCAACCAGGTCACATGTAAATGACAATATTAGTTGACAATCCAAATAAGTTTTTTTTTTTTTAAATACCTCGATGAAGTATTAGTCCATAGTACTACTCGCTACATGGTAGTTGCTCTACCTCAAGAAGTTATCTGTTTGAAAGTCAATCTGACAGGGGCTCTTCCTAAGTAGCTGCAACTAAAGAAGGCAGACAAATGCTTAAGTGCCCCTCAGTAGAAGGTGAAGGCAGTATGCTTCATCTTCCACCGGCAGGGGGCAGACCCGAGTCACAGGAGGCTGCTGCGGCGCTGGCTCAGAAATTTTGCAGTGAACTCCAAGTGTGGTCCTCCCACCCGTGGGAGCAGCGGCAGCCTGGAGGACTTGGAAGAAATGCATATTCTCCACTCCGGAAACGCTGGAGTGGCGGCAGCAGTCTGAGTTGTAACAAGCCCTTACGGGAATTCCGAGGTTGACCAGTACCGTTCTCAGTGCTACCAGGTAAACAGGCTTATAAGAGCTTGGTGTCCAGCTCAGATGGGAAAACTGAACTATTACCTGCAAAGTGTTTTGCCTCAGGGGCTCAGAATCATGCAAGCATGTTGGTGGCTTGTTTTCTAGGTCCCCGTTACATCTCTAAAACTCAAGGTCTACACAGACCCTGTGCATCCTGCTAGTACCTGCCTGAGTCAGTCCTCTTCACCCCTGGTGAGCACAGGAGCACATGGATGCAGACAGTGCCAGAGTCCCACTCACAGCTCAGACTTCTAAGTGCCAAAGAGCTTTTCCTTCCCTGGGTGGGGATGGGGTAGGAGAAATCCCCCTCCAGCAGATCTCCCTTTTATAATAAAAAGTGCTAAATGAAGAAAGTCTGATACTTAAAACAGATGCTGGAATGTTAAAAGTTGAATTAGAATTTTAAGTATATGACTAAATTCGAGACTGGATCTGTGACCAGGATTCTCACTCCATTCCTTTTTCAGAATGAACTTGGAGGGGCTGTAACTATGGGGATCAAAGGCTACATTCAGAGCCCATGCTCCCAGAGCCTGTGGACCATGCCAAGCTCAGCCCAGCACAGACCTCTGAAGGGCTTCGGCTTAAGTCCACAATTGAGAGTCATGAAATTTCTCTACTACAACAAACAAGACTATAATGTGTAACCCTAGCAGGGAGCTCAGGTGGCCCATCTGGTCCACAATCTATTCTAGAAAGCTACCAGGGCTGCAATGATTTGGTTGCAGATGCTCTGCTCTCCCCTGGAAGTGGCTACTGGCAGGTCACTCACCAGGGCCTTAGTTTCCTCACCTACCAAACAGCTCACTGAGGTCCTGCTGTAAAGTTCCCCAAGGGGTTTCATACCTTGGGAAGCACACATTCCCAGGGTCCAGGCCAGAGCCTCGCAGAGGAGCGCCCTACCTGCGAGGATTTGGTTTCAATTTCTTTTAATCTTCGCTTTCTTTCTTTTTCAAGGAAATACTGAGATAAAAGAGATACTAAGAATGTAAATATTCTAAGAACATGTAAATAAACATATTTATATTTCTTTTCCAAGAACCTTGAGTAATTTCTTAAATTTCCTTGGTTTCTTCTTAATGCCTGGGCTGCAGACTAGGGCATGAAGAGAAAACAGTTCTATTTAAGCAACAGATAATTGTGACTTTTGACTGTCACAAATTCACCCTTTTTTGTCAAATGGATTCTAGAAGTCACTTAGATATTTTTATAATCTTATAGCTCACATTAACCTATACAACAGAGCTACTAAGATGGTAATCATGATTGCTGAAGCCTAAGTGACAATGTGTATCAGTATTTCTAAGATCACTTTTTCAACACCCCAACATGCACAATAATGTACAACAGTTGGCAAATGACATAACTTTGCCCCGAGAGACAAATGCCTCCAGCAGCTTTAACAGCTGACCACAGCCAGTGTATGTTTCAGGCATCTGGAATCTTGCCTTTCCATGAATCCAGTGTTTCTCAGGGGTGAACAGAGCCAGCCTTGCCTAGCCAGAAAATAACTTTACCTGGGCATGGAACTCTACAGCTACATAAATTATAAAGAGACTGTTCATCCTGCTAGCCCTAGATGGGGGCCTGCCTAGTGACATCTGTCCAACGTGATGGTTGGGGAGTTGGGGGGATTAGGATGGGGAGAATTCTCTCAGCCTTCAGCTGTGCAAGGCAGGAACTTTATTTCCTCATATAACTAAGTGAGGCTGGCTAAGAATGCTTGAAAGATGAACGGCTGCCAAATCCACTTAAACAACGCTCCCCGCCCCCCCCGCCCCGCTTTTTTAAGGGAACAATGTGATGCCCTTACCAGAGTCGCTGCCTGCCTGATAGACTGGTAGTGGCTGAGCCAAGAGGGTAACTCTGCCAAATGTTTGCATTTTTCCTCTTCTGGGGCTCCCCTTAACATCTCATTCCCCCCCATTTCAGATTAAGAAGGGAGACAGCCCTAGGACTGATTCCAATTCCCTTCCCTGTCATTGAAATTGACTTAGTCCACATTGCCCGCACCCGCCACGCACCTGGACGTTTGTTTGAGGTCGGCACAGGTGCGGAGGTGGCCTGAGTTGTAAGAATGGTATGGTACTAAAAGTGGCACGTGGGGTTCAAACCTACACTCTGTTGCGGCCTCTGGGTAACCTTAAGAAGTTACTTCTTTTTCAACTTCAGGTTTTCCAACCGCAGAAGACACCAAAACCCGAATCCACTTTACTTGTTTTTGGACACACCGGGACTAGATATCGCTTTGCAAACAAAAAGGCTGTTCAAAGTCAGTATTTTAAAAGAGAGGTACTATTTCCTACAACCTACCTGCCCACCTTCCTTGGTCCAAATCCGCCTATGTCCCCCATCCCCAAGCATCCCTGGGATTGCGGTCCACACCCCCGTGCGGGGCGAGGAGAATCTCCTGTGTCCATGATCTTTCCAACAGCTAAACGTCCGTACCGCTCCCCCCAGCTCCGGAAACCTTTAACCCATTTTCACTGAAAGCGCTTTACAATTTACAAGTACTCTGCACTTAAGAGAATCAAGCAAGTAGAGGGCCGGCAGGGGAGGGTCCCTCCGGTGAGCGCCTTCAGTTTCCTCACATACTATCTCCAGTGAGAAGAAAACCCGAGTCTCCGGCAGCGGCACCCAGCAACCCCCAGGCCTTTCCGCACCAGTGCGCGGGCTGCTGCGAGCAGCGCACCTGGCGCCGGCGGCTCACCTGGAGCGGGCGGCGCTGGCAGCAGGTAGGCGCGCAGGCGGCTGACGGCACTAGAGTTGACGCAGAGCCCGCGGCCGTCCAGCAGCGCCTGCAGCGGGCGCGCCTCGTCGGGCGACGGCTGGCAGCGGAGGCCGGAGCCACAGCGCTCGGTGTAGATGCCGCACGGCTGGCCCTCGCTCAGCGCGCACGTCAGGCAGCAGCCGCAGCCCGGCTCGCGCACCAGCTCGGCGCACACGGTGGGCGGAGGCGCGCACTGGGCCAGTGCACGCGCGTCGCACGGCTCGCAGCGCACCACGGGACCCAAGCCCGCAGAGCTTGCGCCAGCCCTCGCCACCGGCGGCCCGCGGAGCAGCACCAGCACAGTCAGCGCAGCGGCCCAGAGCGTGGGTCGCGCCCGCTGCATGACGCCCGCCACCGGGGCACGCTGCTTGGCAGGCCGGGGCTCGCAGGGATGGGGCGACAGTACGCGGCGCGAGGCTGTGGAATCCAGGCAGGCAGCGGCCGATCTTTAGCGCCCAGCCGCAGCGCTCGCATCTGGGCGGCCCGGGCGCGCCGGCCGCTATATAGAAGCCGGGGTGGCCCAGGACACGCCCCGGAACGGCGCGCCCAGGAGTGGGGGTTGGGGAGGGGGGCGGGTCGGCGCAGGCACGGCTGCGGGGGCGCGTGCCTCGCCCTGAGCAGCCGGGGCCGAGCTCGGGGGCGTGCAGCTCGCGACTCACCCGGACACCTGCTCCTCTTGCGCAAGCCCGGAGCCCGGGTCACCTTGTCGTCTACAGGAACCAAGATGTGCCCGGTCACCTCGGCACTCCAGGCCACCTCAGTGCCCCCGGTCACCCCAGTCACTCCTGGCTAACTCAGCACCCCCGATCTCCTTGACCCCGCCGCCCTTCCCCCTTCCGTTCTCGGGGTGAGGTCGCCCTGCGGCGAGCCGGTGTCGAGGAAACTGGCATGCATTGCTCCGCATTCGTGTGTACCTTGTGGAGCTTTCTAAAATTTAATTCCGCTGGCAGGGGAAGTCTTGGGACATTTCTGATTTACATTTGGGTCTCAGGGAGCCAAGGCACCGCGGGATTTAATTTACACCCGCTGGGCTGTTTACGTCCCCGGGGTCCACAAATACGCATCTGAAGATGTCCCCGGGGCCCACAAATACACATCTAAAGATGCGCCCGGGGCCTTTGCCCCATTCGAGGTTTGCTTCTCAACACAAGAAAACTCACACGTGTTGCTACACCGCAAGTCCCCAATTAAGAGTGGACAGGCAAGGTAATGCCTCCTTAAGGCAGGGCTTTTCACCTATTTTAAATGACAACTGTTCTTCCTGTTTGGTATATTCTCCCTGATTACGTTTTCAAATAGAGTTTACACTTACGACAAAAGAATAACAAAGACAATAAAGTGGGCACTGCTGAAGCGTAATTAACCAAATAGTCCTTAAAATAGGCAATTTTCATTGTCATTTTTTGAAGGCGACTTCGTAATACTGTATTCTCTTTGATGCGTTGGGATTCTCGTTTATCTCTGCAATCTAAGCATTTTTCAGTAAAGTTCGGGGGCGCAAATGCGCGCTGAGGTCGCTATAACTCCTGTCGGTCTTCTCTGACACTCGAGCGCCTTCAATTTTGTCTGCACACCCCCTCCCTTCGGTGACCAACAGAGGACGCTGGTGGTCCAGGATTGGATTGAGGATTAAATTTTTCAAGGCGCTTTTCCAAAGAGTTTGTGGGGGTGGAGTGGGAAGCTGTGAGACCTCCGCGGGAGGAGACGTTCCTGAACGCTATTGAAATTGGACGCTTGCCTTAGGAGGTGGATAGGTGACTTGAAGGAGTCCTTTGCAGTTTGGGGTAGCAACAACAAATCAGGAGCTCCTCCATTCCCCTCCAGCATGAAACCTTGGGTGAAGTTAATCTTCATTTATCATTTCTGTCTCTCCTAATCGATCTCTCGCCCAGTGTCTCTCCTTGTTCCTCTCCCTCCCTTTCTCTCTCTGGTCCTCTCCCCTTTTTCCCCTGTCCACCTCTTCCCCCATGTCTATACATCTTCCTTTTATACATATCTATACATCCTCCTTTTAGAATGGAAAGACCAATTTCGTTCCCTCTTGTACTAAATAAATAAATAATTGGATCTCTACAAAGAAAAAGAGACCAAAGACAAGAACAATGGAGGGTCCCAGGGTGACAAAGGCCCAGCCCTGTCATTATCTTATGAGCTCTTCCCCCACAGTGCTCAGGCTGTGGCTACACTCAACCTTGTTTACAGGAAACCGCGCCATAATCGTCACTTGCTGTTTCCTTTCTCCTGTATCACCTCCTTCTAGTGTCTGCGTTGACACTCACGAACAGGATCTCTGATTTCGTTGAAAAATTGAAGGAAACAAAACGAATCCTGCAGGTTTACATCCGTTCCTTAAATACTTGCAGAGACCTTGACTCTGAAATTAGAGCTGGGTTCGGCATCAAATGCAATTCTTGAGGTCCCAGGTCTGCAGTTCTGGTTAGTGCAATGTTACAGCGGAGCCTGGACTGACTAGTTTGTGTAGCACTTTTTACTCAGCTTTATCATCTGGAGAGTGGAGAGGGGAAGATAAGAAAGAATGTCTTTTTGGAAAGGATTTAAAAAATATGTTTTATTCTTGGTTCTCTTCTTTTTTCCCTCTCATTACAGTTGGAGAAACTTGTTCAGTGCCGAATGGCTAGGGGGCGCCAAAGCGCCAGACGTCCAGCCCGGCCTCAGGGACCACCGGACAAATGCAAGGACTAAGTCACACTGCAACTTTCAAAGACTATTCCAATAACAATGTTTTATATAGATTGCCATCACCTTTATCATGACATCTTGCAACAGCAGAGTAAATTTGAGGCAGTGACACGGGGAGAATTGTGTTTTGTTATTTAGCCAGTTTTATTTGATAACTGCAAGCTCCCTGCCCCTTCCGGAACATAATTGTTACAGGAAGGATTTGGACTGGATAAAACTTAATTTTGTGACATGCTCGTTAATTCTGTTAAACTTCCAATTCATCTGGTGTTTGTGGTTTTTAATATAAACTAGTGTTTAGTGAGAAAGATATTTTACCCCCTGTGAAGGTGCTTGGCATACAATTGCTAATCATTGCAAAAGTAGCAAATAACCATCCGAATAGAGGTCAGGAGGCTGCATAGATCTCTTTTCACTAACAGAGTCCTGCTGACCTGATTATAATTAGTGTTTCCTGGGGTCAGCCTCGTTATTTTCACCAGGTGACCTAAACCACTCATTTCTTTGAGCCCACTCCTGATGCTAAAGGACACCTTGTCGCTGCGTGATACTGGCTCCCTTGCTTTTCTTCTGCTCAGGCCCTGGCTGGACAAGCGACCCGAGGGTCTCTCTCCTTCTGACAGCAGTAGTGTTTCTCAGTGTCCTCTGGGATGTGGCTGTCAGGCTTACTGACTACCAATAGTCTTAGAACAGAAAGAGCCAAACTTCTAAAGGCAAGCAATGTTGGGGACCCAGTTGCTAGGAGTCAGTGGCTCTCAGCCTATAAACTTCAGTTTTTCTTCCCCTTAGGGGAAGCATTGGTGGGGACAGGAAACCTAATTTTCTCTCCATCAGATCGCCTGCTGGGTGAGCCTCCTGGAATTACATATACTAGGCTTGGGGATGCAATGGGGACCATCAACTGCTAACATCACGGTGGCTAACAAAACTGCACATGACTTTTACTCACAAATAACATCATTAAGAGTTCATCTGTCCACTTAGTCCATAAATGATTACTAAGCACCTCCATGTGCCAGCTGCAGGGTTTCACAGACTGGCTGGAGTGACTCACCAGAGACCAGACAGTGGTAGGCAGTGTGACAGCAAAGAAAACAGAGGGGTTCACCGGGTGCATTTATAACCCTGCTGGAGGGATGGCAAACCTGTCCGTGTGGTCAGAAAAAACTTCTAAGAGGTGGTGGCATTTGAATTGAGTCTTAAACAATGTGGGAGAGTCCAGCTGAGAGATGCAGGCAAGAAGAAAGTGTGGGCTTTCACGGAGAGTTTTTCTGTGTGCCTGGAGGGGTGAGGGGGAGGGCTCAGAGGGATGGTATTGGCATTGTGCATGTGACCTGTGGAAGGCATAATTCTGAGATTTGGAAGAGAAGAGAAGGTAACTGGATATACTGGATTGGGACCTGTGGCATAGGAAATCCATGGTCCAGAGACAGGGACTCCTCAGAGTTAGTGCTGTCCCGTGTTGTCAGACCATCTGGAGATAGATGACAGGCCTCCTGAGAAGGGGCCTGGACATGTTCTGAACAGAAGACCAGCTCTCCTGGGACCCCACCCCATGGAAGGGAGGTTTCTGCTCAGGACAATGATTCTCCTGTCATGGCTTTCTCTCTCACGATATCTCTCACGATGCTACCTTCTACATGTGGGCACCCACACCCTTGCCTACACAGTCAGTCATTCACATGACATGAGCTACCTGTCTGTCCCCTGGCCATTCAAACAGAGACAGTTCCTGACTCTGTCTAACATCCAACTTTTCTTCAAGGTCGAAACTTCAGAACAGTGAGAGAGACTGGGGACTTCAATCACAGTAGACTAGAGTTTATTCTAGCAGTTCTCCTCTCAATAGCTTTCTGACATTGGACAAGTTCTGCAACTCAATTCTAGGACCAGGTAAGGGCACTAGTACCTATCTGACAGCACTGATAGAAGGCTGAATGAACTCTTAGATACAGTGTTGCCTGGTGTATGGGAAATAAAAGTTCATCCTTGTGTTCACATAGCCTCCTGAACAATCTTAAATTAGAGGTTTTATTCTCAAATGGGTCCTAGTGCACAGCCCACATACCTTGTCTCTTTAGTTCAAATGTCAACATGCTAACAATTGAGTCTACCTGTGGGCATGACATACAGTCTTCAAACTGGCCAAGTGTCTAATATGGTCTTTCCCTGCCCAGTGAGGTCTTAAAAGGGGCAGGAAAGATTTTAGGAGCACTTTTCATTCAGTTGGTTTATCCCTGGCACCAGTGTCAATCCTGTGTCTTTACCCAAGGGCATCTTTGGTGCCACTTCAAGCTCCTTTTCTAGCTTTGCAAGTCCATATGGAAAGGAGAAGATTCTCAGTAGCTTTCCTATCATAGCTAGAAGAGTCCTGAGAGTCCTGTTATCTATCCCTTTCACTGGTGATGGAGAGACGGAGGCAGACCCTTTTTGCTGGATTTCCTAGATCATAATCCACAGATTATTCCATGGTGCCTTTCCAATTTGATAGACAGAGATAGATTTTTCTTTTTCATTGATGTATAATTAACATACACTACACAGATTGGAAGTGTATGATTTGATAGGTTTTGACATATGTATACACTTAGGAAATCGCTAACATACAGATGAACCTTTCCATCATCCTCAAAAACTTCTTGACCTTTTGTAATCTTGAGCCCTCCTTTTCTCCAATCTTATCTCCTGGCAGCTGTTGATCTCCTCTCTGTCACTCTAGATTAGTTTGTATTTTCCAGAATTTTATATAAGTGAAATAATATGGCATCTACTTGTTTTCTCCTGGTTTCTTTTACTCAGCATAATTATTTTGAGGTTCGTCCCTGTTGGGGCATGTGTAAATAGGCCACTCCTTTTTGTTGAGTTGAATTCTGTTGGATGGATATATCATGGTGTGTTTATCCATTCATCTGTTAATGGACATTTGGGTTGTTTTCTTTTCTTTTTTTTTTTTTGGCTATTAAACAGAAATAAGCTGCTGTGAATATTTGGGTAGAAATCTCTTGATTATTTTTGTAGAAATCTCTGCATGGATGTATGCTGGTGGAATGTCTGGATTTTTTAAATATATAAAATATAAAGCAATATATATGCTTTATTTGAAATATGTGTTATATATTATATATGTGTGTATATATATGTATGTGTGTGTGTATGTGTGTGTGTGTGTTTTTGGTGTTTTCAAAAATGCCCAGTGTATTGTACCATTTTACATCCTCATCAGCAGTATATCAGAGTTCCAGTTCTCCCACATTTGTGGCAATATTTGATATGGACAGTGCTATTAATTTTATCTATTCTATTAGATGGGTAGTGGCATTTCATCTTGGTTTTAATTTGTTACTGGCCTCATGACAAAGCATGTTGAGCAGCTGTCATGTGCTCATTTTTTTTACCTGTATATTTTCTTTGTTGAAATGTCTGTTAAAATTTTTGCCCACTTAAAAAATTAAGACATTTGTTTTCTTATTTAATTTTGAGAATGCTTTGCACATTTTGGATCTAAGTCCTTCTTTACTAGACATGTAAATTGCAAATATTTTCTCCTACTCCATGGCTGGTCATTTCAGTTTTTAATGAGGCCTTTGAAAAGTGAAGATTTTAATGTTGATATGGTACAATTTGTCATTTTTTTCTTTTATGAATCATGCTTTTGGTATTCTGTTCTATTCCATTCCATTCTATTCTACCCTGTTCTGATCTATTTATTATGCCATCTGTCTGTTTTTATGCCACTGTTACAGTTTTCATTATGATAGCTTTATTATAAATCTTAAAATCAGGTAGTGTTACTCTTGCAAGTTTGTTCTTTTTCAAAGTTGTTTTGGCTCTTTTAGGTCTTTTAATTTCCGTATGGGTTTTAGAATCACTTCTTAAATTTCTACAGAGAAGGCTACTGAAATTTTGACTGGGATCGTATTGATTCTAAAAATGAATTTAGAGAGAATTGATCTCTTAACTACACTGAGTCTTCATACCCATGAACATGACATGTGTATTCATTTATTTAGGGCATCTTTCATTTCTCTCAACAATGTTTTGTAGTTTTCAGTGTATAAGTCTTATACTTCTTTTGTCAGACGTATTCTTAAGTATTTCATATTTTTGGTGCTGTTGTAAATACTATTTCTTAAAGATTTAAACTTCTAAGTTTGCATTGCTAGTATATAAGAACACAGTTGATTGTGGGATACTGATCTTGTAGCCTGAAAAATGCAAAACTCATTCATTTGTTTTTGTAGTTTTATTGTGGATTTTGTCATCTGTGAATGAAAACAGCTTTACTTCTTTCTTTCTAATCTGGATGCCTTTATTTCATTTTCTTACCTTATTACACTGATTAGGACTTGTAGTATAATGCTTCAGAGGGACAGTGATGAAGACAGCCTTGTCTTGTTTCTGACCTTAGGGGGAATGCATTTGGTATTTTACTGTCAAGCATGATGTTAGCCGTAGGTTTGTCATAGATAACATTTAGCAGGACAAGAAAGTTACTTTCTCTTTCTATTTTGCAGATAGAGCTGTTGATCAGGAATGGATGTTGATCTATGTCAAATGCTTTTACTGAATGGATAAAATGATCATATAGTTTTGCTTTTAAGGTTATTGATTTGGTGAATTACACGGATTAATATTTTGACTATTAAACCTTCCTATATTCCTGAGATAGAGTGACTACACGCACTTGGATCAGGTTGTACCATTCTATTCTTTGAAAAAATGTATTGCTGAACTTAGTATTTTAGACTTAAAAAAAATTCTAAAAAAAAAATTTCCATTGGTGTTCATGAATGACATTGATCTGTAATTTTCTTCTAATGTCTTTTTCTTGAAGAGATATGCAGAATTCTTATTTTTTCCTTTACATGGTTGGCAGAATTCACCAGTGTAGCCATTTTGGACTAAAGTTTTCTTTATAGGAAATTTTGATTTTTATGCTTGCTTTTGTTTTGTTTTGATTTTGCCTCTGCAGACCCAGAGGGTGGAGCATTAAGCAACAGAGGAGTGTCGCTATGTCTTGAAACCTAATGTAATCTTTCTTGCTAGGTTCTGAATTTTCTTGGAACACATAAATCTTTTATTCCTTCCAATTTCTCCCTTTTGGAGTGGGACTCCCTATGCTATGCCTGTCCCACTATTGTATTTTGGAAGCAGATGACATGTTTTCTAGTTTAGAAAGTCCACAGATGGAGAGGAGTTTTGCCCCAGGTTGGATCATACCCAGGATATCACCCATCTGGGCTACTTAGACAATTAGATGATGAGATTTGGGAATTTTGAAGTGATGATACTTAAATGAGACTCTAAGAGTTGATGTCACAGTAGGTTCTAGGGTTGTTGGGCTGGGGTGAATATATTGCCCATGTAAGACACATGTCAATTTTTGGGGACTTCTAAGGGTAGACCATAGCAGATGGAATGGAATGAAAAGATAAGTTGAATGTGACCTTATTTGGACTGGATCTTTGCAGATATAATTTAGTTAAGATGAAGTGATATGAGATTATAGGAGGTCTTAAATTCAATGACTAGTCTCCTTACAGGGAAAGAAGAGTTTGGAGACACACAGGCACAAGAAGAAACAAGGCCATGTGCAGATGGAGGCAGAAGTTGGGATGATACAGCTACAAGCCAAGGCATGCCAAGGACTTCCAACAATCACCCAAAGCCAGGAAGAGTCGAGGATGGATTCTTCCCTAGAACCTTTAAAAGCAGCACAGTCCTGCCAACACCTGCATTTCAGACCTATATCCTCCAGAACTGTGAGAGAGTAAATTTCTGTTCTTTTAAGTCACCCAGTTTGGGGTAATTTGTTATGACAGCCCTAAGAAATTAGTGCATGTAGTAATTATCACCACAATCAAGATATAAAATAGTTCCATCACCCCCAAAACCTCTCTTATGTTGACCCATTTCAATCACATCCTACCTCTCCCCTAAGTCTCATTAACAAGTGATCTGTTCTGTCTCACCATAGTTTCATGATGGTCTTAAAACGTCATGAAAATGGAATCATACCATCATGAAAATAGAATCATACAGTACCTTCGAGACTGCCTTTTATTTTGATTCAGCATAATGCCTTTGAGAGTCATTACATTGACACATATATCAGTGATTAATTCCTTTTTATGACTGACTAGTGTTCTGTTTCATAAAAATATCATAGTTTGTTTATCCATTCACCTACTGAAGAACATTTGGGTTATTTTCAGTGTTCAGTAATTATGGAAAAGCTACTATAAACATTTGTGTGCAGGTTTTTTTGTGTGTGCAAACATAAGGTTCCACTTTCCAAGGTAAATATCTAGGAATGCAATTGCTGGGTTGTATGGTGAGTGTATGTTTAGCTTTATAAGAAACCACCAAATCATTTCTCAGAATATGTACCATTTGCATTCACAGGAATATATGGGAGTTTTAGTTGCTCTGTATTTTCCTCAGCACTTAGTATTGTCAAATTTTTTGTTTGTTTTTTAGCCATTCTGATAAGTATGTAGAGGCATCTCACTGCAGTTTCAGTTTTCATTACTGTAATGGTAATGAATTTTAACAACTTTTCATGTGCTTATTTGCCATTTGTATATTCTCTTTGGTGAAGTGTCTGTTCATATCTTTTAACTGATTTTAATTGAACATTTTCCCCTTTACTCTTTTGAGTGTTAGTTATATATTCTGCATACAAATGCTTTGTCACATATGTGATTTGCAAATACTTTCAGTCTGTAGCTTGTCTTTTCAGGCTCTTAACAGTGTCTTTTAAGAAGTAAAACTTTTGAATTTGATTTAATTTAACATTATTTTCTTTTGTGGATCATGCTTTTGGTGTTATCTCTAAGTTCAGATCATAGAATTTGCCTCCTACATTTTCTTCTAATAGTTTTATAATTTTACATTTTATGTTTAGACCTAGGAGTCTTTTGAGTTAACTTCTATAAGGTATAAAGTTTTTGTCAGGGTTGTTTTTTGCGTATAGATGTCTATTTGTTCCAATATAATTTATTGAAAGACTATCATTCCCCATTCAATTTCTTTTGAGCCTTTCATCAATAATAAAATTGTCATATTTGTGTGAGTTTATTTCTGGGCCCTATTCTGTTCCATTGATTTATTTATCTGTCCTTTTATCAATATCTCACTGTCTCAATTACTACAATAATCAAGATTACTATATTGTAAGTTTTAAAATTGAATAGTGTGATTCCTCTAAGTTTATTCTTCCTTTTAAAAATTATTTTAGTTGTTTTAAGCCTTTTTATATAAATTTTAATCTGCAATTTTTCTGTTGAGATTTTAATTGGAATTGGGTAAAGTCTTTATATAGATTTGGAGAGAATTAACATCTTTATCAGTCTTCCAATCCATGAACATGGTGTGTATCTTTATATATTTAGATATTTTTAAAGCTTATTTCATTAGAGTTTATAGTTTTTAGCATAAACATTTTGTATGTATTTCATTACATTCATACCTAAATATTTTATGTTTTGGAGCTATTTGGAATGATTTATTTAGTTAAAAATTCAATTGCTCATTCTGGTATATGGAAATATGATGGAGTTTTCTTTGTGTTGACATTGTATCCTATGCCCTTGCTACACTTATCTATTTATTCTATATTTTTTGTAGCTTCTTTGAGATACTCTACATGGAGAGTCATACCATCTGCAAATATAAGCACTTTTATTTATTCCTCTCTAATCATTCTGACTCATTTATTTTCCTTGCTTTATTGCAGTGGCTAGAACTTCTAATACAATGTTTAATAGAAGCTGTAAGAAAGGACAACCTTGTCTTGTTCCTGATCTTAGTGATAAAGCATTCATTCTTACACTGTTAAGTATGATGCTAGCTATAGAATTTTTATTGATGCTTTTATTAAATTGAGGATGTTCACTACTGTTTCCAATTTGATGAGAAGTTTTATCATATTTGGATGTTGAATTTTGTCAATTTTTTTGTATCAATTAATATGATCATATTTTTTATTTCAAGTCTTAATATAATACATGACATTAATTTATTTTAGAATATTGAATCAGCTTTACTTTCCTAGGATTAACCCCCTTGGTCATGGTGGAATTTAAATAACACATACTGCTATTTTTGATTCGCTAAGGATTTGTTTAGGATTTTTGGTGGTATACTCATGAGGGATATTGGTCTATATTTTCCTTTTTTGGTTTTATTTTGTTTGTAATTAAAATAAAACAATTACATATTTATGGGGCACAGTGTAATGTTTTACTACATAAATAAATTGTATAATTTTTTATTTTGTTTTAAAGACTCTCTTGGTCTCAGAATAAAATGGGATGTATTCTTTTATTTTCTAGAAGACAATATGTATAATTTGTGTAATTTTCTTCTCTTTAGAATTCAGTTGTGAAACTTGGAGATTTCTTTTTTTGAAAGGTTTTAAACTATTAATTCCATGTATAAATAATGAAAGTTATTATGGGTTTTCTATTCAATGTTGGGTGAGTTTTAGTATTTTGTAGTTTCAAGGTACTGATCTATTTTTTTAAGTTGTTGAATATATGTGTGTAGGGTGGTTGTAGTATTCACTTATTATTCTTTTACTATCTGCAGGATCTATGGTGATATCTCCTATTCTATTTTTGTCATTGGCAATATGTTCTCTCTTTTTTTGTCAGTCTTGCTAGAGGCTTTTTAGATTTTAAAAAAATCTTAATGCTATTTTCATTGCATGTTTGGATCAGTCTTTCTGTCTTGTCCTCTGTGTGTGTGTGTGTGTGTGTGTGTGTATATGTCTGCTTTCTTTCTTCAACCTTCTGTAGGGTTATTTGAGCCTTTTGTTTAAACATAACATTTTAATTTTCTGATTTATTTTTGACTTTATCTTTTTGCATATTTTTTTCAGTTGTTTTTTAAAAATTGCAAAAGATGTACTTAACATTTGGTAGTTTAGTTAGAATCAATATTTTACCACTTAAAGAGAAATTTACAATATTTTCATCGTATAGGTCCCTTTGTCCTCCCTTTTTTTTTTTTTTTTTTTTTTTTTTTTTTTTGAGGGGGGCTCCCTCTGTGGCCCAGGCTGGGGTGCTGTGGCGCAATCTCGGCTCACTGCAAGCTCCGCCCCCCAGGTTCACGCCATTCTCCTGCCTCAGCCTCCCGAGTAGCTGGGACTACAGGCGCCCGCCACAACGCCCATCTGAATTTTAAAAATATTTTTAGTAGAGACGGGGTTTCACCGTGTTAGCCAGGATGGTCTCGATCTCCTGACCTCGTTATCTGCCTGCCTCGGCCTCCCAAAGTGCTGGGATTACAGGCGTGAGCCACCGCGCCCGGCCTCTGTCTTCCCCTTTTTATGTTGTAGTTGTTTTACGGATTGTATCCATATACATAAAAAACCCCATCAGATGATGTTTTTGCTTTCAAGTATTAAATTTACTTTGGCTGTAATGGATCACGAGGTCAGGAGATCGAGACCATCCTGGCTAACACGATGAAACCCCGTCTCTACTAAAAAATACAAAAAACTAGCTGGGTGAGGTGGCGGGCGCCTGTAGTCCCAGCTACTCGGGAGGCTGAGGCAGGAGAATGGCGTGAACCCGGGAGGTGGAGTTTGCAGTGAGCTGAGATCCGGCCACTGCACTCCAGCCTGGGCGACAGAGCGAGACTCCGTCTCAAAAAAAAAAAAAAATAAAAAAAAAAAATAAAAAATAAAATAAAATAAATTTATTTTAAAGAACTCAAGATGTGAATAGTCTGTTGTATTTACCTAGATGTGTACTATTTCTGTTGAGCTTCATTTAATTATCATTATTTACTTAGGCTTATTCCAGGTTCTCTCTGGTATCCCTTCCATTCTGTTTGAATGACTTCCTTTAGTAATTGTAAGGTAGATGTGCTGACAAGATCCTCTTTCCTTTTCTTCACTTGAGAATGTATTAATTTCACCTTTATTTCTGAATATTTTTCCTAGAAACACAACTCTGAATTGACTATTATTTTCTTTATTTTTTTTTCCTTTGGGGCTTGTTAGGCTACTTTATTAGGAAAGTCTGTGTCTTTGATTAAATTTGAGACATTTCTGGCAATATTTTTTCAACTTTTTTTTTTCTAATCCATGTTCCTTCTCTTTTCCTCTGGAGAATGTTAGACTTTGTATCACCTACTGGTCTCTGGGTCTCTGTCAACATTTTCCTTATCTTTTCCCTCATTTTTCTGATTAAATAATATTTATTTATCGTCAAGTTCACTGACTCTTTCCTCATTCATCTCCATACTGCTACTAAGCACATCTAGAGAAATCTTTATTTTGGTTATTGTATTTTGAAGCTCTAAACTTTTAATTTGGTCCTTCTTTATAATTTCTGTTGCTTTTTATGCAAAAAGTTTTTAAAATTTTTCCTAGGTTATTGGGGTACAGGTGGTGTTTGGTTACACAAGTAAGTTCTATAATGCGACTTGTGAGATTTTGGTGCACCCATCACCTGAGCAGTGTACACTATACCCTATTCGTAGCCTTTTATTCCTTGCCCTCCTCCTACCCTTCCCCTTAAGTCCCCAAAGTCCATTGTATCATTCTTATGCTTTTGTCTCCTCATAGCTTAGCTCTCACATATCAGTGAGAACATATGATGTTTGGTTTTCCATTCCTGAGTTACTTCCCTTAGGATAATAGTCTCCAATCTCATCCAGGTTGCTGCAAATGCCATTAATTTATTCCTTTTTATGGCTGAGTAGTATTCCATCATATATATATACACACACACATATATATACGTATATATATACACACACACATATATATCTCTCGCAGTTTCTTTACCTGCTTGTTGATTGATGGGCATATTTGGGTTGGTTCCATGATTTTGTAATTGCAAATTGTGCTGCTGTAAACGTGTGTGCAAGTTTCTTTTTCATATAATGACTTCTTTCCCTCTGAGTAGATACCTAGTAGTGGGATTGCTGGATCAAATGGTAGTTCTACTTTTAGTTCTTTAAGGAATCTCCACAGCGTTTTCCATAGTGGCTGTAGTAGTTTACATTTCCACCAGCAGTGTAGAAAATGTTCCCTGATCACCACGTTCACACCAACATCTACTGTTTTTGATTTTTTGATTATGGCTATTCTTGCAGGAGTAAGGTGGTATTGCATTGTGGTTTTGATTTTCATTTCCCTAATCGTTAGTGATGTTGAGCATTTTTTCATGTTTGTTGACCATTTGTCTATCTTCTGTTGAGAATTGTCTATTCATATCCTTAGCCCACTTTTTGATGAGATCGTTTGTTCTTGCTGATTTGTTTGAGTTTGTTGTAGATTCTGGACATTAGACCTTTGCTGTAGGTACAGATTGTGAAGATTTTCTCCCACTGTGAGATTTTATATTTTTGTATTTGTTTCACGATTGTTATTCCGTACTTTTCAGAGCACTTTCATAATAGCTACAGAAAGACTTTCTCTTATTATTCTAATACCTCTGTCATCTCTACATTGGTGTCTGTTGACTGATGTTCCCACCTGAGTTGACATTTTTGGTATTGTAAATAATTTTGGATTCTTTCCTGGACATTTTAAATATTTTGTTATGAGACCCTTGGTCTTGTTTAAATTTTTTAAAAAGTTCTTATTTTTATTCTAGCAGGCCATTTACTGAGTTGAGTTTAGGCCACTTCTGGCCAGCCTCCTTTAGGCTATGGTTTTAATGTCCTTTCCATTTTCCAAGCCTTTGCAGTACTGTTAGGATTTGTGCTGCACATGCATCACTAAGTAGCCAAGTGCAGCTTCCAGTGTGAGCTCAGAATTCATAAAAGACTTTATGGGGTTGACTTCCTCAGTATCCTCCTTCTTCATGGTGTCCTTCTTCATGGTGTCTCACAAGCTCTCTAGTTTCCTGAGCTCCCTATTTTTTTGTCTTCTAACTGGAAAGCTGTGGTTTATTCACCCTGGGTGGAAGGGTATTACTACTGTATATGTCCCACAATTGTGCCCATGTCTAGGCAAGCAACAGGAGACTGATTGGAAAAAAAGCAATGGGAGTTTGCCCAAATATTTTTTTGGACCACCACTGCTCTGACTGCAAGGGAAGCTTTCACTGACTTGGGGTTTTAGGTACCTGCCCCTGCAATTGTCACTGACTCGGTTACCCTGGGGTTATCT